AGGGATGAAAATATCCCTTTTTAAACTCTTTAGCAAATTATTTCAGTTTCTATTCTTAAAAACGTTTGTTTTCAAATGTAGAGAGTAAAATAATTCTCTTTCAATCCTAAAATCAACTGCCACACAATTGCCATACAAATAAACAAAAAAATGTTTAAACTTTCTCAATAAAGGCGTTTTGTTAAGAAATACCGAAGATGAAGTAAAAGGATTCGAGCTATTTTCGAAGAGTGATAATAAGTTATTTAGAAAACGAAATTAACAACCTTTGGAATAGCAAAACTTTGAAAGGGACCATAACTTACGAAACTGGAAACAATACAGACTCCAGTCGAACAGCCCTTCAAACTTCTAAACGACCTCACTGGGACCAACTAAAACTACTTTTCCCAGAAACTGTTAGTAATTTGTCTCAAAAAATAGAAGAAGAAAGAGAGGAAGAAGAAGGAGGAGAAGAAGAAGAAGAAGAAGAGAGAAATAAATTCTCCCCTCGATAAACTATAATTATTCTATTTAATTAGAAAAAACTAATTATAAAACAAAAGGACTAAATTTTATTTCTAAAAAAGCATATTAAAATACATAAATGCAAATCCAAATGCAAAAGACTATTCTGATTTAATTTAAAAATGCTAATTATAAAATGAAAAACTAAATTTAATTATTAAAAAAAAGCATATTAAAATATTTATTCACTATAATGCAGAAAACAGCAATTGTTTATTCAAATATATGATAACAAATATTTTGATATAAATATTCTCGAGCCTTTGGCATTGCACTATGAATTACTAATAACCGAGGTGCAAATTATTATTCTGAATTCTCAAACCAAATGTATATCCTTTGTATCATTTGCTTTACCAGCAAAATTCGATCAATTGAATTTCCATTTAACAGATCTAGCGAATCTCGTTATCTGATTGAAATCAAACTCACGAGAGCGTCGCTGAGGTTAGAGATCACTTCAATTACAAAATTTATTATCAGTTATTTACACATTTGCATATGTTTCGATTATTGCAGAAAAAAATCCAACATGTTCTTTTCCATTTCAATTAAATTTCCACTGGTAAAATTTACATATGATTTTAATATAATTAATTAAAATTTTTATATAAATAAAACTTTTAAATGTCGTAATAAACAAAACGCTACTAATTATTTTTAAACTAAAATTAAAATAAAGTGGACAAAAAATTAATTAATAAGAATTGTAACATTGAAAGTTAAATTAAAATAACCGAACTTAAGTGAATTAAAAAAATGTTTAAGAGTTAAAAATAAAGAAAAATAAACATCACAAAAATTAAGAAAATCAAATACTAAAAATACAAGAATTTATAGAGAAAAAAAAAATTGCAATAGGTTTTATTCTGGAATTTGAAATTTAAGAAAAAATACGTGACAAGACTGATTCCTTAAAACTCGGATAAGTTGACAGGGAATGCATTTGTATTTGGGGAATTCGTTATTTCTCGGCAGGAGAAATATTTTACGACTTGGAGTGAAAGAGAGAAAGAGAGGAGGGAAAGATCTCTTGAAATTAATTGAATTCTCAGTAGTAGAACGCCGAGGAGGTCAATCGTGCTGTATGCAGGGGTCCAGTATATCGATAGAATGGGTTATATTAGGGGATGGAATAGAAAAGGAAATAGAAGGGAATACTGCTTTCATCGGAACCAAATTAAAAATTTTGATGGGAATTCTACGTGACATTCGACCATTTTGCCTTTTAACGCTATCCGATCGTTGCACTTTAACAATTGAAAATCGCCCCCCCCTGAGAAGAAAAATAAGGAGGACAGAAAAAGTATAATAAAATCTCCCCATTAACTTTAATAATTATAACCAAAAATTTTAGTAGTAAATTTTCTCTCAAAAATTTTTAGAAAGAAAACGAGATGAATCAGAAAATAAAAAATAAAGAGGAAATAAAGAAAAAAAAGTAAAATACAGTAAAAAATAAAACAGAAGTAAATAAATAAAGAAATACGATTGTCTTGTCTGACGAGAAACTGGTTTTACTACTGAAAAAACAACAAGAAATTGAATACGAAAGGTCTGATCGAATATTATTTTTACTATACTTATTTTTACATAAGAATTTGGAGCTTTGTCTTACTAAAACATTCTTTTTCCACTTCCACAATAATTGCTTTAGGAATTTTAATTTTCGAGTTAAAAAAATTCACATTACTACTGGTAAATGAACAAAAAAATTAATAGTCCTGACCGAAAATTTACTTTTACTTCTTATTTTAAAATAAATAGTATTTACATTGTCTCACAAAAAATAACTACTTATTCTAAAATAAATAATATTTATATTGTCTGACTAAAAATATACTTTTACTACTTATTAAAAAAATTAAACAGAGTTTAAATTATCGTCTGACCAAAAGTTTCTTTTTCCATTTATTATAAATTAAACACTTATTTTCCATATTGTCCGAAAATGAAAATTTTTGAATTTTTAGAAAATAAAGAAAAAAATTATACTCAAGAAAATGTTCTGTTAAATTTATTTACGAATTTCTTTAATTGCAAAATCATTCGAAAACATAAATAAATTCTTTTTTAAATAAATATTTTATTATTATTATTTTTCCATAGGAATTAAGATTTTGAAAAGTTTCAAATTCAAACCTTTTTGAAATTAAACAACTTTAAAAATAATGTTATAAAAAATGAAGATATCGATTGCTGCGAGTCAAAGACTCGGAGTGATCGATTTCTTCATTTTTTATAATAATTAAAGATGTTCGAGAGATAAAATAATTATTTTATATTATAAGAATATTGTTACTGAAACTTTTTCAAAATTATTTTCATATTCAATTATTATTTGAAATTTTAACTAAAATTAATTTTTAAATCGTTTTTTATTAGAATATTCTAAATTTATATACAAAAGTAAATTATTTATTGAATAATTGAATGTTTCTTAAAATTTAATTCTTAAAAAAAATTTTATTACCATGTTTTAAAATAATTGAATTCTTATGAAGAATTTTAATTAATTTTTTAAGAATAGTTACATTCTTCAAGGAATTCAATTAAAATTGTATTAAAAATAATTGAAATTCTGCAATGAGTTTTATTATTCATGAAAATGATTGAATTATTGAGAAGAAACTTATAAAAAATTTGTAAATAATTGAATTCCAGTGAAATTTTTATTATTTATGGAAATAATTAAATTATGTTTGCGTACAATTTTATTAAAAAAATTTTTAAATATTTGATTTGTTTTGGGTAGTTTTATAAAAATAGTAAAGATATTAAAAATTATTATTAAAATGATACAAAATAATTATTAAAATTATTATTGAAATGAGGACAATTTTTGAAAATAATTAAATTTCGAAGAAGAATTTTATTATTCATAAAAATAATTCGGATTTTGCCAAGATTTTTTTTCAATTTTTAACATAATTGAATTTTGTGATAAGAATTTAATTACCTACTTTTGAAAGTAATAGAATTTCTGTAACTTCTTCAAAATTCAATTTTTTTTGAGTGTTTTTAACTAAAATTCTTCTATAAATCCATTATTTTTAATAATTAATGTAATAGGGTAAATGCACTAGTGGTCGGACACTTAAGGATACAATCTTAAATTATGGTTTTTTTCTTGAAATAGCAAATATCTAATGTGTTTATAAGCACATTATTAATTAAAGGAGTTCTTCAGGATTAAAAATCATATAAATTTGTTACAAATAGTTGAGTATTTAATAAAATATAAACATTTTAATAAAAAATTACAAATGCTTTAGTAGTCGGACACTTTTTCCCCTTGTTTCTATAGTCGGACATCTGTCAGATATTTTGAATTTATAAAGTGAAAAAGATAATTTTTTAATTGCTATCTACTGGAAAATGGAATTAAAGCATATTAGAAGTTATTAATATAATATTTAAACCCTATAAGTTTTAATATTTATGATTAATTATCAACAAAACTTTGTGCCACTCATCGCGCTACTCGAAAATGGCTGTATCTATAGTCGGACACCATGAGTTTTAAAACATTAAATAAAATATTTCTTGTTCAATTATTTTCGAAAATAACACTATTTTAATAAAATATAAACTTCACACATTCGTCTAGTATACTTTTTAAAGTAATTATCACAATGCATTATTATTTATTTGCCAAAAAACACGAAAGTGTCCGACTACTAGTACTGTCCGACTATACCCGCACTTACCCTATATATTGACAAATTTAACTAATTTTAAAAGATTTTGAATTATTAAAACTTTTCAAAAATTTAAGTTCTTTAAAATTTCTAATTACATTCATTCAAAATTGAAATTTTATAAAATTTCAAATTAAAATCTTTTAAAGTGCATCTATTTATAAAAATTGTATCTATACGCAATTTTTTTAGAATTCAATTAAATTTTAAGTATTTAAGTAACATTATTCATTAAATTATTTATTTATTTTATGATATTGTTTAAGATTTAAGTTATTTTAAAAGAAATTTTTGTCAGAAATAGAAAAAATTTAAGGTTTTGTATTAGAATTCGTGGTAATTTTATAGTTTATGAATCAAACAAAAAAGACACAAAAATTCAGAATTCTTTTCAGTAATTTTAATAAAAGTTCCTGACTTTTCCCTGAATTCCCTATATCCCCTGAATATATAATTATTAAAGTTATGATAATATTAAAACTATATTTCAACTCATATTTTATTTTTATGAAAATAAATTTGTATTAAAAATTTGTACGTTGTATTATTTTTAAAATTGCTAATTTTATTTAAACTTTTATTTAAAAAAGTGAGTTAAAAGTTGAAATTATTGCTAGCTTTAATGAATTTTATTTTAATGTCATAAAAAAATTTACAAAATTTCAGTAAAGAATGAAAAGAGTATAGAAAAAAGAGAGAGGTATATATATTAAAAGTTTAGTTGAATATGAAAAACAATTTTTTTTCCACCATAGAATATATAAAACAACGGCAAATGAGTAATGAACTTACCAGTAAAGTGAAGATGGCGCTTTAGGGCTTGCGGCCACCGAGGGAATCTGAAACGGAGAGAAGTTTTTATTAGATTCGAAGCGAAGGCACTTTGATATTCCTAGGGTTTAAAGGGTGACAGGGGACGAGAGTGTGGTATATAACTATATAAACCTTATCGTTTGCGGCGTCAGATATATTCAGAAGGGGGAATCCGTTAGCCGTGCAAAAGCTCGCCTCGAGGAAGTTTGCATATACTACATGATTCAGAATACTGTAAATGTAAACGTTTGCTGACGTTCCCTAAATGATTTTCTCTTATTATATACACGACAAAACGCGAATACATGAAATTGCTTCAATCGTCTTAAGGCATCCACTTGCTCAAAGTGACAATTTCAATCGGGGACTCTCTCTCTCTCTCTCTCCTTGCTCATTTGCCTACTCTGCATCTCTCATTTACCTCTCTCTCTCTGCTTTCTCTCTCTATACATAATATTTCTCTCTCTCTCTCTCTCTCTCTCTCTTTTTTTCTTTTACAATCAGTAGAAAACTTAAGATTTTTGATAGACAAAAACTTAAATACTAATTAATATTTATTTTAAAATGAGTAGTAAAAGTAATAGTTTGATCAGACAACAAAATTAATACAACTTACTTTAGAATAAGTAGTAAAATATACGTTTGGTCAGACAATAATTTAAAGTCTATTTATTTAAAAATAATTAGATAATGTAAATTTTTGGTCAAACGAAAGTTAACATACTATTTATATTACAATAAGTAGAAAAAGTAACTTTTAATCAGCCTTAATTTGAATACTACATTCCTTATTTATTTTAGAATAAGTAGAAAAAGTATCTTTTTGATCAAATAATAATTTAAATATTATTTTTTGAGAATAAATAATAAAAGATAAGTTAGGTCAGACAATAAGTTAAAAACTATTTTGATTTTAGAATAAATAGAATTATTGGTCAGACAGTAGTTCACATACTACCTCTATTAGAATAAGTAGTACAAGTCTTTTTTGGTAAGACAATAATAATTTAAATACTATATTTATTATTTATTTTAAAATAAGAAGAAAAAGTAATTTTTTGGTCAGAAAACAATATAAATTCTATTTATTTTAGAATAAGTAGTGAAAGAATTTTTTGGTAAGACAATGATTTAAATACTATATTTATTGTTTATTTCTGAATGAGTAGAAAAAGTCTCTTTTTGGTCGACATCAATATAAATAATATTTATTTCAAAATAAGTGGAAAAAGTAAATTTTTTGTCAGACAACAATAGTAATTCTATTTATATTACAATAAGTAGAGTAAGAATTTTTTGGTAAGACAATAATTTAAATACTATATTTATCATTTATTTTAGAGTAAGTAGAAAAAGTAACTTTTCGGTCAGACAATAATTTTAATACTACATTCCTTATTTATTTTAGAATAAGTAGTAAAAGTAATTTTTGGTAAGATAATAATTAAAATATTAAATTTATATTTTATTTTAGAATAAGTAGAAAATGTATATTTTTGTCAGACAACAATATAAATTAATTATTTATTTTAGAATCTATTTATTTTAGTATAAGTAGTAAAAATAACTTTCTGATGAGACAAAAATTTAATTACTATATTTATTATTTATTTTGAAATGAGTAATTAAAGAAAATATTTTGATTAGACAGTAATTTAAATAATATTTATATTTCAGAATGAGTAGTTTGAGTCAATTTTTGAATATTCAGTAAATTAAAAACTATTTTAAAAGTAAAAGTAAAATAAAATTTCCTGTCAGAGAGAATACTAAACTTTTAGTAAATTTGTTCCAGTAGTAATGTGAATTTTTTTTTATCCGAAAAATAAAATTCCTAAAGTAATCAGTGCGACAGTGGAAAGAGAATGTTTTGGTAAGACAAAACTTTAAATTCTCTGTATTTAGAAATAAGTAGTAAAAATAACATTCGATCAGACCGAATTCTTTTTTATTTTTTATTTTCCTAGTAGAAAAACCAGTTTTGGTTAGACATAACATTTTTATTTCGTCTAATTTTCTACAAAAAAAAGTAGTTTAAAAAAATTAGTCAGACAAAGTATTTCCACATTACCTTCTTATTTTATTTATAGTAAATTTTATGTAGTTGTAAAAAAAATTGTCATAGTTTTTCCTGTTCATACAACTTTTTTCTTGTTCACTTTTACTTAAAAAAAATGTTAATAATAATTTTTTTATTTTTCCCCTAAATTTCACTTTATTAAACCGACTTGGTAATTATTTTTTTTCCGAATATTTGAAGCAAGAAATAAAGAATAAATTGTAGCAGTTAAAAATATTCACTCGAGAGGAACAAAAGTGTAAAGCAATATTACGCCTTGCTTGTCTTACTAATTAATTTCCCAACATAATTGAGAAGTGTAAGAATCATTCTGAGATGTTGTCACTTTGTTTTCGAAAGCAGGAAAATTAATTGCAGATGTTTTAAATCTCGGAAAATAATATTCTCAAAATATCGTGTCCACTATTTAATTATTTATGTTAATTAATAATGATAATAATTTGCAAGACAAAAGTTACAACTTGGCCTTATTAATTAATATTTTTTCTAAGACAAGCAGACTTTTAAAAAAAATATCAGCATTTTAATTTTAATTTTTAATTTATTATTTATTGTAATTTGTAACAACAGCAAAAATAATAATAATAATAATAATAATAATAATAATAATAATAATAATAATAATAATAATAATAATAATGATAATAATAATAATTTATTATATTTATAATACAAAATAGGATATATTTATTTATTAACTATTTCCTAATTACAATTTCCTTACACAAAAAATGCATAATTGACAAAATGAGTTGAGAACACGTTCAATAACAAGAAAGGGAAATCCATTTCTCGGGGAATTTGACATGAGTGTATACAATAGAAATGAAGCAAATTGACGTACCGGCATTGTCAAAATGACAATAGTGACTCTCAATACAGAATTGCAATCAAAGTAGGAGAGAGAGACAGAGAGAGAGAGAGAGAGAGAGAGAGAGAGAGAGAGAGAAAGAAAGAAAGAAAGAGAGGCCAAAAGATCTGAGACTAAATGCGATAAACGCAAGAATGCAGGAAATAGACACTGAGAATATTCGATAATTAATTGGGTCTCATATTCATAAGATTCAATTTCCTAATAGGACACGTACATTATTCGATGTTATATATTTGAGCTGGTACACTGATTGTGTCAATATTACATGTGAGTATATACTTATAGTGTGCCTCAATATACCTATAGGTATTTGTCTAGTCGGAATTATCAGGTAAAATTGCTGACCCGCTCCTATACAGAATTCCCTCGATATTACCTTCCTGCATTAGTTACCAAGTAAACTATACACAACATCACGTTCAATTGCTTACAATTTGGAATTAAATTCTCATCAGCATTTCATGATTTTGTGTTTTCAAAATTAATCCATTTTTTCACAGTAAAACGTGAGGTGTTAAAATAACACCAGAATGGATTAAAATAATCTGCAACAGTTTAATCCCTCTAGTATTAAATTAACACCAGAAAGGATTAAAATAATCTATTTTGGTGTTATTTTTAACTATGAATGAAATTTTACTTTAAATAAAACACCAAAGTCAACGATTTGTGAAATTTCAACGAATTTAGCTTCTCCAGGGAGAATAGAAAGTTAGTAAGTTAGTTACTAACTTACTAACTAACTTAGTAACATAGTTACTAAATTCAATTGTGTTCAAAATTTTTTAGTATTCTCGTCAAAATTTCAATTTTTTTATAAATAATAAAATTCTTCTTTGATATTCAATTCTTTTTATATATAATAAAATTCTTCTCTGATATTCAATTATTTTACAAAATTTTAATCAAATTCTTGTCAAAAATTTCAATTATTTTCAAAAGTTTTCTAAAATTAAATGATTTTCAGTATCTACTGTTTCGTCTATTTCAATAAAATTTTCCAAAAGAATTCCATTATTAAATAAAAATTTGACTAAAATTCTACGCAAACATTCCATTTTTTTCATAAATAATAAAAATTTCACAGGAATTCAATTATTTACAATTTTTTTTTATAAAATTTCTTCGCAATAATTCAATTATTTTCATAAATAATAACATTTTTACAGGGATTCAATTATTTTTAAGAATAATAAAATTCTTTTAGAAATTCAATTATTTTCATAAATAATAAAACTCATTGCAGAATTTCAATTATTTTTAATGTAATTTTAATCGAATTTCTCGATAAATGTAATTATTCTTAAAAATTTTATTAAAATTCGTTTAAAGAATTTAATGATTTAAAAAATTTGTTGATAAAATTTTTTATAAGAATTTAATTTCAAGTTTTTATTTTTCAATATATATTTAATTGCAGAATTTCCGAATAATTGAAATTTTCTAAAATTGAATTGTAAACGAATGAATTTGAAAATTCTGATAAAACTCATCGCAGCGTTTCAATTATTTTTCATACAATTATAATTGAATTCTTTGAAAGAGGAAATTATGTTCATGCAAGTTTAAATAAAATTCGAAAAAAGAATTCAATTATTTAAAAATTTGTTAATAAAATTCTTTATGAGAATTGAATTTTGAGAAACATTCAATTATTCAATAAATTATTTACTTTTGCATTTAAATAATTAAATTCTTGTAGAATTTTCTAATAAAAATTGATTTTCATTTCATAAAAATGAATTTCAGTTAAAAATTTAGATTATAATTGAATATTAAAAGCAATGTAGCTTGAATTTTTAGAAATAATTGAATTTTGAAATTAATTTTTTTGAAAAAGTTTAATTTTTATATTATTTGAAGTTTTTATTTTCTAATATGCATTTAATTAAAGAATTTAGGAATAATTGAAATTTCGTTAAATTGAATATTGTAAACAAATGGATTTGAAAATTGCCAAAGAACTTTTTCGAAAATTATTAAAATTTAATAAACTAAAATTTCATAAAAAAAATGTAAAAAATAATACTAAAATTGATTATTTTAATCTTTTTTTCTGTTAATTTATTCTG